ATATAGCACATATAGCACATATAGCAAGGAGCCGGGGGAGAGTGGGGGTTCAGCGGCTTGGCGTGTAAGATATAGCACATATAGCACATATAGCAAGGACCCGGGGGAGAGTGGAGGTTCCGCGGCTTGGCGTGTAAGATATAGCACATATAGCACATATAGCAAGGACGCGGGGGAGAGTGGGGGTTCAGCGGCTTGGCGCGGCGGCCGGGTGGCGCAGCGCCAAGCCGTATGACCGTATGATCCGTATGATCCGTATGACTCGGCGGGCTGGCGTGTCAGGGAAGAACATGTTCATCCGACATGTACTCCGACATGTTGAAATTAAGCGCGTATCTCTCTCTTTAGAGGGGGTTTTCCAAATGGCTTATATTCTACCTGAGAGGCTTCTAGCACTCGTCCGTCCAGCATTTGACCTCGTCCTGCGAAGGATTCGAAGTCTAAAACGCTGCGTGCAGGCGTGTGGCTGCAAAATAGTGACCCCTAGATATGCGCCGCAATTTGGCTCCAGGTTGCATTTCAAGCGATGTCAAGCTTTGCCAAAGGAAACCCCTTTTCCCTTTTTTTCGGGGACCCCTTTTTTTGGGACCCCTTGTTTCTTTTTTTTTTGGCTTTTCTTAGCCCTGCAAAGGTTGGCTCGCTTGAAATGCAACCTGGAGCCAAATTGCAAGCATATCTAGGGGTCTCTATTTTGTTTTCACGCCGAGGCAAAGGTTGGCTCGCTTGAAATGCAACCTGGAGCCAAATTGCAAGCATATCTAGGGGTCTCTATTTTGCAGCCTCACGCCGAGGTCAAATGCTGGACGGACGAGTGCTAGAAGCCTCTCAGGTAGAATATAAACCATTTGGAAAACCCCCTCTACAGAGAGAGCTGAATGAATGGAAGTTTTTCCTATATCAGATGATTTCAATATTTGTGCCTCATGTTGTGTATAAGTTGGCCTCAGTAGCCGGTTCAGGGTCAAAAATAAGCGATTGTCTTGGAACAAGATAATGCATTATTCAGGAGCCAAGGTTTTGAAATGTGGCTACGCGCATCTTCTTACCGGGTACTGCGCGGCAACTTTGCCCGCAGCCCGTAGCGCAGCTGGGGGACAGGTGCACGGCCTCCGTCAGCCGGCTCACGCCGTCCAGGTGTCGCTGCCCCTCCTGGGCCAGCCTGCGCTCCCCCAGCCTTTGCACGGCTGCGAGCCCTGCTGCTCCTGCGCCCACAAGGTCCGCTGCTGCCTGCGCGCCGTCGGCCGTGCTGCGCAGACGGTCCGTGATGGAGGGCGGGCCCTGGCCGTTGCTTGCCCAGATTGTCAGTCGCACGCCTCGTCCGTGGCCTCTGTGTGAGTGCGGAAGCCGGCTGCGGGTTGGGGTCCTCGCTGGACTGCACGTCCAGGTAGAAGTGGCTCGTGACGAATGAGGTGGCCCGCGCTCGATGTAGCCCACCACCTGCTCGAAGCGTGGGCGCTGGCTGAACTGTGGGACCGCCGCGTCTCCGCTCGCAGCCGGGGGGTGGAGCGGGGCGCGGAGGGGTTGCCGCCGCGTGGGCGGGGCCTTCGAGTACCTGGGGAAGCCTGGCCGAGGGAGCAGCAGCCCTTGCACCCACGGCGGGTGAGGTTGCTGGGACGTTGGCTGCCGTCGGCGCAGCGGCAACGGCGGGACTGGCCGTGGGGGTTGCGGGCGGAGCAGCCTACGGTCTCGCCTAAAACACGGGCTCGAGAACACGCTTGAGAAAGGGAGGGGGCCCGCCCCCATGGTGAGTGCATGAAACTCGATTGCCCGCCCACCCACACTGTCCATATTCGGGGTCGACAAGCGTGATCCAAATATGGGCTAAATCACAAGGGTGGTTTGCAGGTACATTGACATGGTCATGTAGCTTCTGGTGGTGCAATGGCACCCACCACTGAACGCAGAGTCCTGACTTGTTGGCTGCCCAGGTGAGAAAAGAAGCGACCTCCCTTTTGCGTATCAATTGCTATCACGTGAATGTGATACTTGAATGAATGGAAGTTTTTAATATATCAGATGATTTCAAATTTTTCAATCTAACCCGCTTTGCAAACACTCTGTATCATTACAGGGTATGCCATTTCGGAGCGCGTTTCTCCGCATACAGGTGGCAACTTGCGTTGCGTGCGCACGCAGGCCTCCGAAGGGCAGGCAAATCATAGCATTTTTGCATCCCACCGGAACGGACAACACGGCCTCAAGCGCAAATGGTCAGTGACTGCTTCCCACATCCCAGGGGAACGCAAGACCTGGGCAGACCAGCTCAGTAGAGGCAACACATCAGTATTGAAGGACAAGCCGGCGCTATTTCTGGCCGCAAAAGTCCACACTGACATTGCATCCATGCGATGCACCTTGGCATAGAGACGCTTCGCAACCGCACTGAAGAGGGGACGCGCGGTTAGGCTGTTTGCTCAGAACCCTAAAGTGGGGGCATCTGTGCAGGCTCCGTGTGGGGGTGCAGGCCTGAGCCTGAACTTCTGATCAACACCTGTAAAAAAGGAGCTGAGCGTTTGGGTCGGTCGGGCTTCCTTTTTCATGGCATGTTCCCTCTGGGCTTGAAGCAGTGAACAGGATTCTAACGCTTGGGGTTTTTCCTTTCCCCCGTGTTTTAATCCTGTTCAACTCTTTAGCCGCGTTGCCGTTTATGCTTCAATCCTTTTGAAGGACATGCTTTGAGGGTTTGACCCCTCTTTGTTTTCGCCCACCCACCCACCCTGTCATTCCAAGGTGGGAACCTCAGACGCCCAGGCCTGCGCCGCCAATTTGCTAGCACATGCATTCTTGTCTAGGTCAGTGAACTTTGCTTTCATCTGGCCCGCTACTAAGATCCACAGAATACGCGTTATTCTGACCGCCAGAAAATACGCGTTACTTTGTTTTCCACACGAGATGCACGCATTGCATCCAACAGGACCTATCAACGGTCCCACCAGCAGAGAATCCATCGTTGGTCCAATCAGCAGAGGACGCATTCCTTTGTGCCACACACAAGATGCACGCATTGCTTCTTGTCGTGATCAGCATGCTTCCTGTTTGTCTCACACCCCATAGGTAAAGCACCTTGTGTGAAGGTCGAACACGCATTGTTGACCTTCGGGGCATCTGTGCAGGCTCCGCATGGGGGTGCGGGGATAGGGAGTGGACACGCCCTCCCGCACCAAGAGCGTGAACTTCTGAGCAACACCTGTAAAAAAGGAGCTGAGCGTTTGGGTCGGTCGGGCTTCCTTTTTCATGGCATGTTCCCTCTGGGCTTGAAGCAGTGAACAGGGTTCTAACGCTTGTGACAAGTGAAGACGATGGAGCCCAGGCTTTACGGGCGATGTGTAGAATTCAGATTTTTTTGGCAAGCCGTGATGGCTATAAGTCACGCGTAGCAGTCAGTGCCAGATAGAGCATTGATGCTGAGCAAAGTATTTCAAATGATGCCTTCATGAAATGAATGGCATATTTGAGGCAGGGTGCTAACCATTTAGCTCCCTTGCATACTTGTGCATGCGTGTGTTGATTTGGTTGTAAACCATTTGAGTTTTGACACGGTATTGCATGTGTTTTTTGGAGGGTTGTTTGGGTTCAAGCTAGGAGCAGTGCAGCAGGTCTTAACAGCAGTGCAGCAGGTCTTAACATAGGCAAATATTGCTGAAATTACCCGTGCTTTCAAGTCATCGGATATTTGCTTTGGCAGGCACATTGGTGACAGATGAAAGCATCACGCGGCTGGCCAGGCTCCACTGTTGCTTCAAAACTCACCTGGAAATGCCCCTGCAAGTTTACACAGCACAGCGTTGAATATTTTTCAATTCACTTAGCAGCCAATGCACCACGCACAGAATACCAAAGAAGAGATCCGGAAGCTCCAGCCTTCAATCCCCAACCCTTCCCAACCCAGTCCGTGTCCATCCTCGAGAATCTTGCTCTGAAGTCACCTAGAGCCTTCCCGACGACCGCCCCGCACCGCGCACCCCCCCAAACTAGCTCTGAATGAACGCGGAACCAGTCAAACTCCCGCTTTTGAACACTTTGCAACCCCATCCTACATCAAGCTCTACACCGAGCTTGAGCTCGATCCCAAGCAAGGCAACCAAATTGCAAGTTCCGCATCAATGCCAAACCCACCCTGAACAGACTGCAAGCCCATCCCAACTCAAGTGTAAGACAAGCCAACAGCCATCCTGAACCCACTCCAAAACCAACCCTGCAGCAACCATAAACCCAAACAGACACCGGCCAGCAATACAAAACAACCCAACTTCAGCCTACACTTGGCCGTACCAAACGTTTCTGAGATCTTTCTGGCCCCAAACTGCCAGAAGCCCAGACTCCCCCTTACTGTCTGCAGGCACAATGCAACAGCAACGCAAGCTCAATGCAGCAGGGAATGTGAGGCTGCGGTTGGAGTGACAGCCTTTTTGCCATGGCGTAAGTTCCTGAAGTTTTTCAGAACTTCCTAGAGAGCTGGAATCATGATTGGCAGACCTCTAGTTCCGTGGATAGCTTGCTTGTATAGAGTCCAATCGTCAAGAGAGCAAGCCGTTTCGTGAGGTTTTGGCAATATCACGACAATGAGCTGCAAACACGTTACGCACAGCTTGTTCAAGATTCAATCTCCAGCAACTGACAAATCTTTTGTCAGCAATGCTTTTTGTCAGCAGTGCGCACACACATCCGTGGTGCACACGTTTGGTTCTGTTTACTTGCCACATCGGGCCTGCCAATGCGCTGTGAACCTGCTTTTTTAGCTCAAGGCATGGAACCCCATGTGCCTCATGTGAGCATCTCCATTTATTGCAGTGTACCTCGACTGCATTGAGGCTCTTTTTTTTCCCGGTTGCCATTTAGTGCGTGGCAGAGCATGCCTTTGGTTGATGCTTCCCTTGCTCCACGGAGGTTCAGGAAGCGTAGACATTGAAGATCAGAAAGGCCTGGCAGTGGCGAGTCTGCCTTACGGCTTCCAGAGCATATAGTATGCAAGTTATAGAGAATCCTTGTTTTTGCTGGAGGTGAGATCGATGAGCCTGTTTTCCATTGCATGCTATTTGTGCGCAGCTTACGGTGTGTTACAATAGCTGAGACATTATTTTTTACTGTTACACCAAGGTTAGTGGATTTTGCCGCAGCTTCCTACAAGGACTGCTTCTTGGTAGAGCTGCTTTTGGCTCTGTACCTACGGCAACCAGCAGGAAGTGCGGGCTCCTCCATCTGTCCTCTTTGACGACGACCCGTGTGCAGGCGCAAATGTTTGGTGGACTTGGGGAAGCGACGGGCATTTGCACATTCTGCCAGATGGCTCCAGCTCCATTGGCAGCTTCCAATGCGGCTCGAGCCTCAGGCGTACAAAAGGGATAGGTTATGAACGCCTGGTTGCAGATGTCACCTTGGAGTTGCAAAGCCATCACTTTTGTTGACTTCTGGAGTTCGTCTCATCCTCTCAGGCACTGCCCTTCTGCAAAGCAGCAACGGACGACGTGCACCTCGCCAGGCACGGCTGGGCTTGAAATAGGGGAACTCCCCCGTCCCTTCGAATGACATACCCTTTTGGAGAGATTTAGGGGCCTGGAACCTGCGGACATGTCTGCCTGGGAAGCCTTCTGTGATACAGTGAAGCAGGTGCCGGGCAAGAAGGCAGCCCTGCAACAGACAGAGGCAGGTCCTTTGGTTTCGCTGCACGATGGCACGCCAGGCATCCGCAAGCTTAAATTTATGCCAGGAATGCCAGTTGTCCTCTAATTCTAGTATTTCTCCGTGTTTTAATCATACATCCGACAGTGGTAGATTTGTGTATGTTCTCATTGTCCAGGTTTAGGGGCTGGGTTAGTGCGCATGCGATATTCATCATAAATACCAAACATGAAAGAAGCCATTCTATATCCCTCTCCCATCTTCCCCGCCGCATTCCCTGATGCATGCAGTGTGAAGGAGTGTTCCGAACCAGGCAGCAGCACTCTGGGCAGCTGTGTCGGAATTGGCAGAGCTGGCCTGGAACTTAGCTGGCTATATTGTCCACGAAACGCCTGGCCGATCATGGTTGTTTTCTCTTCAACGAGGTGCGTTTTGCCATCTGTTATAAGCATCCAGCGCTGGTTGTCCATCTCCATTCAGAGGGAGTTGAGGGATTTGAGAGTTGTGATGAGAAGAGCGTTTTTGAAAGATATGCTAAGGCGGCATACAATGCAAGCCTCATGGGAGAGCTTCGCCTGATGACTGGTCATGCTGCTGGGTTCTGAGATGCTGCAATTGCTGGCAGGGTCAGAATACCACAAATCAAGACACATATCGACCTGACTTCTAATTCTTTGGCAGAGATGCCAAAGGCTGCAATCTATCTTCCAGCTGATTAGCTTGGGAGGACTGTTACCTATGCAAACTCGGCACCTTCAGGCGAAACAGATGGAGGCCAAGGTGCGTAGAGTTTCAACCTCATGCCTCAACTGCCAATCCCACAAAAGGCATGCATGCGGGGCCCGGGGGGGGGGGGTGGGCGTGGTGGCGTGGGGTGCAGGCGCCTCATCTCCAACGTCAGCGGGACCAGCGCCTGAAGCTCCTGCAGGAATCTGACATGGAGCCTTTTTTTCTGTCTCACCCTGGGCTGGAAGTCGCCTGAGCTCAGCAAGGTGAAGGGAAGACGAGACTCCCTGGATCCGTAAGTTTCGACCAATCGTTTCTTCTGACAGACTTGTGGTTTTGCTCCTACTACGCTCTGCAGGAGCATTTGGAGAGCTTTGCTCTCTGCGACAATGACCTTCGGAGCAGCTACTTGGCTGGAAAAGTCATGGGGACCACGCACCATGGAAGCATTGAGCTTCCGGCTAGAGCTAGTTCCAGTTTGTATTGCTGCGACGTCTGTCTGTAGAGCTTGAGCAAGCTTCAGACTTGCCAGGACAAGAAGCTGCTCAAAGGTTAAATGCCACATATGTGGAATGGAGCCTTGTGCACAAGGCTGGCGCTACAGGCTTGGCATTTGTGTTCAAGAAGTGGTTTCAGGAATGTGAACGCCAAGAACGCGAGCTGAAAGCTGATCTCAGCAAATGCACGGACCTGCTTGGCCAACAGCTCAGCAGTCCTGAGCCTGTCGCCACTGGAGGCCTTTCGCCTGCCGGGGTGCCCAGCATGAGTGCCCTTGGCCACCTCTTGGAAGACCTGGGCTTCTATTCTTGCTGGCAAGCCCAGTCTTGTAGCTTCTGACTGGGTGATGTTTGCTCAGGGTGACGGAAAAACCACGTATGGCATACAGACAATGCAGAATTGTTCGCATGCAGCGTTTTAGCAAGACGTTTGATTGTTCATGTCGGCCTTGAAGGTTCCAGCATGATGGCCATGGCTTTGTAACGGAGTTCGGAGTTCATCAGCGGCTTTCGTTCAATTGCATCAGTTGCGCGGACATGCTATCAAAACCACATTGGTGTAGATATTCATGTATCGTCATGACATTTGACAGGCACGCGGTCCTCAGCAGAAGTGTGAAGAGGAAGAAAGGCGCGGCCGGCTTGCTGATCCCGCAGCAAATGTCGAAGAAGCGGATGGAGGCACCTTTATTGGATGCTCCCTGATTGGTGAATTCAGGGCGGCGGTCCCTTTTTAGTCGGGACGAGGGTTTATCAATCTGGGGTCAACATGTTTTCGGCGCTTTTTCGATCTGGGAACCTTGGCAGCGCCTGCCTGAGGCGGCTGCATAGGAAGCTGGCGGAGTGTTCGTCGTTGGCGCAAGTGATGCAGTCGACTAGATGCTCACGAGCATCCCAGGCAAGGATCTTTGTGATGTCTCCAATCTGGCACCAATGGTTTTCTTTTTGGTTTCCATTCTGAATATCAGCGTGTTTGGCTGAGAGCAATGATCAGATCAAATGCAGAAATCTGGCCCTCATGGCCATGAATTTATGAAGTTGAAATGCTTTGGTCGTGGGATTTCACAGCTCACATTCCCTTTGCCTGGCCAGGTCGCAGGAATTTGCGACATGTACAAGGTGTGTCGCTCGGGCATGTCGATGGTGCTGCCCTCAGCTCCGTGGATTGCTCTGAAGGCTTTGGAGTGCGTTACGAGGTTCGCTTTTTTTGAAGGTACCCTTTTCGCACTAGTTTCAAGGGAAACCACGCAAAACCACAGTTTTTGCCCCACCCCCCCCGTTTTCAATCGGAAACCAACCTGATTGTTGCTCCCTATTTTGACGCACATCCAACTGTTTGCATCACTCCGGCGGTCTGGTTGCAGCCCAATGGTTCTGCCAAATTGCTGAAGGCGTATGCGAAAGCACAGAAAGCTGCACAAGCCCATCATGACGCTCAAAAGGCCCGTGATGGCATCTTCCCACGATCTGAGCTGCAGAAGACACCAATTGCTTTGTGATTGGATGGGCTTTGTGTTTGGCTCACTGTCAACTGCTTACAAGCACACGGCGAAGAAAAGCAGGCGGATTGGCTTGGACTGCAAGCTGTGCAGTGCCTCCAAGGAGTTTTGAGCATCGGCCTCGGATTCCGAGTCCGATCGCAACTCTCGAATTCTGCTTCAGCTATCCCTGGATTCTGAGCTCACTCAGACAGCTGCCTTCTTTAGCTGTTGTGCCCAGGTGAAGGCGTGAATTCGTCTCAGCTGCGGGCTCCTCACTTCAGAGTGAGGAACTCTCAGGGGTGCTGCTCACTTGAGCATTCAACAGACCAGCATGGGATTCTGTTGAACCCTCACCATGTCTCCAGTTTGCATTGCGCGGAATGTGTCTGGAAGCATCCGTTCCATTTCGTCCGTTTTGCGCCGTGCATGATTCCTTAGTTTCGAGCGGGCCTAGGGCGCTGGAGCTGGAGAACTGTCGCAAGGCCCCGGGGCCACCCAGCCAGGACGGGCTTGCGATGCTCGATGTGAGCCTCTCCAGAAGTTGGTTTGTTTTGGCGCCGCGGGTCTGTCAATGGTGGATTTTTCAGGTGTCCTTCAATCGATTTCTGAAAGATATCACGGGACTTGTCGCCTTCCAGCCTCCTTTTCTGGAGAGCATTGGGCCAACCCTTGGGCAATGGGTCCACGGTTTCGGGCAGTGCCCGAGACGATTCAGGACCCTCCGCCAGCTTTGGAGTGCGTGGAGATGGAAGATAGCCCTTGCGTGGAGGAGTTCTCGTCTTTTGTTCCGTTTTTGCGTGTCGGCAAATGGCGCATGGGTTGTTTTTCCGTGGATACCCTTTGAAATAACCTAAAACAAAGTGGTATCCTCAACAAACAGCCTGACGTGTGCGGAGTGAAGGAGACCGGAATGGGCCATCCTCGACCAGATGGTGTTGATGCTGATTTGGCCAAGGAGGCCAGAGGAAAGGGCACTATTCATTGCTCATCTCTCTAGTGCCCAATCAGGCGACAAAGAGCCCGACAGCACACAACACACACAGAGCATGAGTCCCTCTTCCAAGCAAAAGCACAAAGCAACCCACGGGCTCACTCAACATTATCTCCAGGCGGTATTTCCAACCACATTCAAAAGAACCAAGAAAAACATGACGACTTGTCGCAAACGCGAGATGAGTTTTGTCACCAGATTCGGCGCAGCATTCGAACATGTCCTGTAGAGCATTTGTGTCAGGGCTCAACGTCAATGCTGCAGGCCGCAGGTGGTGTGTCGTTGATGCAAGAGGGCATTGAGATGGACGTAGTGCTCCCCCACACGATGCAGCAGGCTGGGGTTGGCACTTCACACTAGGGCTTTCTTTTTGTGGGAAGGCTTGAAAGGCTGAAAACTGGAACTTTGCATAGCAGGCCAGGAGCCTGCGAACCACAAGAAATACGCAGATGTGGTGTATAACTGTAATGACTTGTTTGAAAGGCAACCCGGGGATACCGAATCTGGGGATCCCGGAATCCGTTTCAGTTTGTTTTTCAGGACAGCCGAAAAGATAGCAACCGCTTGGCTGGGTGTCCAGCCGGCCTTCGTGTCAGTGGGTACGCATGTTAGGAATATAGCCTTTCAACCAGTTGGCAGCGAACCGGTAGGGAAGCAGACTTGTGCAAACGCCCCACGCCACCGTTGCAGCTGTCCGTCCATGCGCCGCCTGGCGTATGTCTGTGACTGACTGACTGACTGACTGACTGGCTGGCTGGCTGGCTGGCTTTTGGCTGACAGACAGACATTGTAACACTATGATCACGACGGTGACCCTCATGAGCTTGGACCGTGGCACGCAAAAGGGAAGATGTGGATGGCTGGTTGCATCTTTGCCTCATTTAACTTTTGCCCAACAAAGAAGGAGTTCCTAGTTTTGACACAGGCGGTAGCCAAAATCGGCTGGACCCCATGTGGTTGGTATCCTTTTGCCTCCAGGCCTCCCTGATTGTGGGAAGAAGCGTGTAGCCGGCTCCAAATGCTTGGTTCCAGATTGTCCTTTCGATATTCGAAGTTCCCCACCGCACTGTGGGAGCTTTATTGTTGGAGTTGGTACTTTTTTGGTGTTGAAACCACGCAAGAAGCTGAGGTTCACCCCATTTTCAAGACCACACATTGAGATGCGGTCCCTTAGCGTTCCTTTGCTTTGCCCGCCGGGCAAGGCCATTTTTGCAAAGGAACCAGCGCCCACTTGAAGCCGCCATGCGTCCCCCGAGCAGGCCTTCTTCGGGCCATTGGCCACGCCGGTGTGCTTGATGGTGACGGAGTTCACGGTGCTGATGCTGATCGTCAGGCCGACCGACCACCCCTTTGCGTTTCTTGTTTTGTTTTGTTTTTGGTTCTCCAATTTTTGGGTTTCTTTTGACGGGAAGCAGAAAGTAGGCACCATGTTCTTTTGGGTTGCCTGTTGTGAGAGATGTGTTTTGCTTGCAGGTAAGGTCGCAAGAGTTTCTCTTAAGGACGTCACGACCATGGTACACCGCGACATATGTCGTAACATATCGGGAGTTTCGACATTGCTAGAATCCTGAGTCATGCGTGTCATCTTTGTGGGGGGGGGGGGGGGGCGGGGGCCTCATAAACAGGTCACCATTTTGCAGCACACCCCAGGTGTGAATTGTTTCAAATTGGACTGGTAGCGGGTGAATTGACCAGCGTTTCCAAGGCGAGTTTTGTTTTGATGACCATGCAAGATCCATTTTGACCTACATGATATTTCCACTGGTTGGCATCCACAAGGTGAAGCTTCCTACTGTATGTGGAATACCATGCCCATGAGCCCACACAACTAATGTTTGACGGAACGCATAAGCTGCCTGATCGCACTGGTCGTCTCCGGGGTGCATGGGTGCTGGTTTTGCTGGCAGAGTTTGTAAAGTTGAGAAGCCCAATTTGATGGACATTCTGTGCGCCTGTGGAGGTGCTTGCTGACACTAAGAGAGAAGAGGGAGGTGGACGCTCCCAAATCGGTGGATGCATGGCACCTTGGCTTGGACTCACCAGATTGAGCATGCGCGTGAGATGAGTGATGTTTTATCAGCTTTTGAGTCCTTGCAGGTGCGTCAATAGCCAAGAAGGCGCTGATTCACCTGCGCGCTTGGCCCAGTGTCCAGAGGATTCCAAGCAGATCTCTGGGCCCAGTCAGACGTAAGAAGCTCAGACTTGTTTCAAACCGAGGAATGGTTGGCTTTGTGCCGAGCTCATGGTGCCTTGGCCGCGCTTCTCGATACCTCAGTTTAGCACCGATTGGAACAGGTGCCACAGGTGCCCAGGTTTGCGTGGGCTGTCTGTCCGCTTCGTTGCGTGCTTATTTGGATCGCATGGTTTGCCAAACAGGGGAGTTTGTTGCCGCCTGCAAACCCGGGTCGCCTACCTGACGCAAAAAGTGGATTCATGCTCCAATTGCTTTCTTGGGCCTTGGGTCAAGAGGCTCTTGGATTGGTGGCCCAGGGCACATTCCAGGCTCCAAGTCGCTATATGCTTTGGTTTGGGGAGGACAAAGGGGTGACAGCCAAAGACAAATCCACCAACCCAGGGGGTCTGCCTGCAGGTGCCCCGACGGAGTAGGTGTGCTATATCCGTGCCGCGCATGTGCCAGCAATCAGGCGGGATGTGGTCTCTCACTTATTGTTCCCTTCGAACTTCAGCCTCCCAGGGATGCGTGTCCCTGTAAAAGGGCCCCTGTAAAAGGGCCAGGACGGTGTGGGCTCAACATGACGACATCCCTCTGCAAACAGGACGGCTGATGACAGGTTTCAGACTTCTAGGGCAAAAGAAGGTGGCTGCCGTTGGCCATGTTACCACAGTGACACTGACAGCCAAGCCCAAGTATGACTCAACCCCTTTGATGCTGGTTTTGGCAGACCTGTGACATGGCTGAATCCTCGACGCAGGTTGGTCAGCCTTGGAATTTTGGCTGCAAGACTTGCCAGCTTGTTCCGAGGGCCAATACTTGTTTGTCATTGAAGCAACCTAAGGTAACAGACAAGATGGGCCAAACTTTGTTTCGCGCAAGCACTGCGCAGGCCCGGCTTGGTGGGTTGATCATAGGGAATGAGGTGGTGATGGCAAGCAAGACTCACATGTGCGTGCAAAGAGGTAGCATGCGGCCTTGTTCTCAAGGTGGAGTAAAGAGAATATGAGAGCACAAGCGGAGACAATCAGATGATATCCGGTAATCGACATGCTGCCACAATCATTTTGGCTCATAACATGACTGCCTTCAGCAACCACTCAGTAACACCCTGCCAACAATGCCGCAACTCCCCCGTGTCAGCGGCTCTCAGGATGAGGCAGGTGCGAAACGCATACGTGGCTCGAGTGTGATCGCACTTTGAAAGGACGAGCCGCAGGAAAGAAGAATGATATTGCTGCCTAATGGGTGCTGGACTTAGTTGTACTCAGGTTACGTGCAGTGCCCAATCTCCGAAATGCTGAGTCGCTATTGTGCCTGTTTCCATGGGTAGCAGAGGCCCAAAAGGAACTTTCCAGAATTCTCGTTTCAAGTCTCAGGCCTGCACAACGGCCACCGATGGGACCTGCTGCAGGGGCTGTCATTGGCCTTAAGAATCAACAAAATCAGAGTGGCGCTTGACATTGATCTTTAGGGTGTTTTCCGTTTTTTCTCCTGAGTTTGAAGCTTGCATGGCATCGAAGCCTATCCAAGCATAAGTTTCGCTACCGGAGGCCTTCCTCTGCTTCCTCCTGCTGGCCCTGGGGGCTTTTTCCGCAAAGGGGACTGCAAGGAGCCTCTCGCCAGGAGCGGCGCTGCGCAAGTGACTTGGCAGCCAAGGACCGATCGGGGCCCTGCGGCGTGCGCAAGCCGGGAATGGTGGGACCGAGGTACTCCGCTGATGCCTCCATGGAGGATAGCGACAGAGAAGCGATAGAAGATATGGAAGCTATGGAAGCTATGGAAGCGCACGAATCTCACGAAGCTCGACAAAAGAAAGACCATGTCAAGCGCCACAGGGATGAGCAAGTCGATTTTCAAGATTTTAGTGGCCCACTCTGCGAAGGGTGCGTACCCTGCCAGCGCCTCAGTTGCTTTGTTGCTCACTGCGCGCGTGGATGTCAGAGCATTGGCATGGCAAGCCTGAGATCGGCCAGGCAAGAATCGTGAAGACTGCGTCAGCATAGTGGATGAGTTTTTCGAGACCGCTCCAAAAGGACGCATAGGACGGTTACTCTTGAGGGGACATTTGCTCTAGTTGAATGCGCCAAACATGACAAAGTGTCAGTGAGGACTTTATCGAACCTACGAGAGGGCTCTTGCTGGTGGCGAATGCCCTTTGTGTGCTTTGTATGCAACCGGCAGTTGTTCTTTGGAACAGAGGATAGCACATCGTCTTGCTTGCTATATACAAGCATTTGTATTGCCTTGTACATCATTATATATTTTTCAACAATTTGCAGGGTTCCTATGTCCAGAGTCATGATCACCTCTTATACAATATACAATAATGTTTCACAAGGGTGCGCATGGGATGCCATTCTTTTGAACATACCAAACATAGTAGCATTGCAGGATCGAATTAATTCCTCTTTTTTGTTGCTCTCTTCTTCTCCGGGGATGCCAGCATGCATGGTCAATCAACTGTGCATCCATTCTCACCAGCAGCATCAACACTAGCACCACCTTGACACCACTAGCATCAGCAGAAGGGTTGAGGCTTTGGTTAAAGCAGGCTTTGGCTGAGGAAGGGTTTTAATTCAGGCCGGTTTTGGGTTAGGTCGGGGGTGGCGAGGGGGCAATCAGAGTGTTGGGGTTTGTTTAAAGCAGTGTTAGGGCGCCAACAGCCGGCAAAAGCGTCAAAGCCACGAACAACACGAAACGCCGCCAAAGACAAAAAGCCAGCAGAGCCGCCAACCAAAGACAAGCAAAGCACTCCTGAACACATCGCTCATCAGGGCTGCTTTTTTGGCGTGGCGTGTCCAAGGCGATTTGTCTAACGACTACAACACGCTGAAGCAGCGCTGTGATATTTATGACAATGCCACTTGGTAGCATGCGGGTTTAAAGTGGGCGCCTTTCTTGCTTCCGTGGCTTTTGAGTCAGGCGCTGGCAGCGATCTATTTGACAAAGCGTCGTCGATTTGCGGAAGCCCAGAGAATCCTGGATGTTTTCCTGAGGCGTCGTGGCTGCAAATGCGACACGCACGCAGCCACAGCTAACATGAGCGCAGTGCCTCGCAAGACTAAGGCTACTCTATCCCACAGACATGTCGGATCTATTTCCAGAGGCCGAGCTGTGAATGCATTCGCTGAGCAAGATGGCATTCCGCAGGTCCTCTACAGAGGGGCTTCCTCCGGGCGCACGATGGCTTTGCTCGCAGCTTCATACGACTGCGACATGGACGCGAAGGATCACCCAAGCGGCCGTCAACACTTTCCTTGCAAACAAAAGTCAACAGTTTGCCTTTTTGATATCACAACAAGCAGTCTTATTGTGATGAAGGGACAAGAGTATGATTGATGGAAATTAACCTATCTGCGAGCCTCGTATGTTGACTTGTTCTTGCTCAGTGTCTAAGCGCAGGGCGGCCACTACGACAAGCCGGAAGCAGCTCAGAAGCAGCTCCCAAGTGAGTCAGAATCAAAACCCGGGCAAGTGAAGGTTAGTAAGGGACGCTCCCAACCATAAATTAGTGCGGCCGCCTTCTTAACTCTTTACATAATTCTGAGTAGACCCTCTTGATACCAGATGTTGATTGCGACTCAAGTGAGCCACAATCGAAACCCGTGTGAGTGAAGGTTAATAGAGGACGATACAAACCAGAAATAGGTGCGGCGGCCCTTGAGATTCATTTCATGATGTTGGGTAGACCATTTCATATAACGCCAGGCTTTGATTGTGACTCACATGAGCTATTTGTTTCCCACGGCATGGAACTCTGCTGCAGAGTCATAAAGGCACGGATCAAGTGTAGTTGCTTAACTTGCCAATGTGCCTAGGTCCTTGATGGATCGGTGGACTCTGGAAACAACGCGGCTGGGCCAGAACTTGCAGGATGCCTTCGATGAGTCAGCTATAATGGCATGCCTTCCTTTGCAAGGCAAACGCAGCCTTTGGGTCACAAATCGAATGCAAGAAGAACAAGGATAGCTGCTAAAACATGGCAGAGCTTGAGGTGCTTGTGGCCGGCATGTAATAATATGGAGCCATGATGCTTGAACTGTAATGGCCAGCTCGTGTTTTGCGGCTTTGAGCACCAGACTACAATTGGAGCAGAAGACAACCTGCTGGCAGAAGCTGATCCTTGCAAGTACGTTCACCTCAGGGAGGTCCCAGCATGAGTCGATTTGGTGTGGGATTGGGAAGAACCCTTTACCAGGCACCAGTGGCAAGAAGCCAATAGCTTAGGCCTGGGTTGGGATGGCCTTCATGCACTTCGCAACCGCCACTGGCAAGGGATGCTACGCCCTGACCGCGGCCGAGATTCTGCAGGCAAGGCGACCGGCTGTGAGCGACAGTCGCAACATGAGCGGAAGGGGAGGGGGATGTGATATGTTTGGCGAGGGTGTGCTTTCGGTAGTCAAGGGCGAGTTGCTGTGAGCTGCCGGCATTGACTGTCGGTTGGCGGCACGATGAGTTGGAGTCTTTTTGAGCCCTTTGCTTGCAGTAGTCGGACAATCAATGATTGTGAGATGCATGCCATCCGTGCGCAGGCCCTCAGCACCGCTGGTCACCTGGCCATCTATATCGGCATCTACTGTTGTTTTAAACCGACCTTTCAAGCTTTTGGTTTTCTTTTTTGGTCCACTTTTTGAAATTTTTGCACCTTGTATTTCTATGCTTTGGGCAAATGAGAGACTATGCTGGATGTATTTTGGTCGCAGCCGAGGCTCTTGCTCTGATGACTTGGGGGGCTTTATGGCACACCAGCCTCCCAAGCGCAACAACGCGCGATCCCTGGAGCACAACATCGATATTTTCGCATTGGCAGGTGCGGGCTTGGTCCAAGTCATGCTTTTGTTAGCGGCTCCGGACCACAACCCATAGACACGCAGAGTTATGTACTACCAGTAGAGCCGGCGAAGCCGGTGGGCGGAAGTTTCAAACATATAAAAACTATAGTTCTCTTTCTCTTTTTTCTTGACTCTTTTCCTCTTCTTCTTCCTTTTCATTGTTTCTTTTTTCTCCGTCATTCTTCCTTTCTTCCTTTCTTTCCTTCCTTCCTCCCGTCTTTCCTTCTTTCTATCTGTCTTTTCTTTCTTTCTTTTGATTGCTTGTTTTTGTGATGTTCTTTCTTTTGTCTCTTCTCTGTCTATCTATCTGTCTATCTATCTATCTATCTATCTATCTATCTATCTATCTATCTATCTTTCTCTACCTATCTATCTACCTAACTACCTATCTATCTATCTCTCGTGTTAGCTATCTATCTGCTTATCTATCTATCTATCTCTCTATCTATCTTCTCTATCTATCTAAAGATCTCTCTATCTCTCTATCTATATATCTACCTATCTCTCTATCTCTCTTTCTTTCTATCTATCTATCTCTCTCTATCCCTCTATCTCTCTCTCTCTCTCTCTATCTGTCTATCTATCTATCTATCTACCTCTCTATCTATTTATCTATCTATTTATCTATCTATCTATCTATCTATCTATCTATCTGTCTCTCTATCTATCTACCTACCTACCTACCTACCTATCTATCTATCTATCTATCTATCTATCTATCTATCTATCTATCTATCTGTCTCTCTATCTGTCTATCTCTCTATCTATCCATCTATCTATCTCTCTATCTCTCTATGTGTCCATCTATCTACCTATCTATCTCTCTCTCTCTCTATCTGTCTATCTCTCTATCTCTCTATCTATCTATCTATCTATCTATCTATCTATCTATCTGTCTAACTCTCTATCTCTCGTGTATTTATCCATCTCTGTATCTCTCTATCTACCTTGTTTCTATCTCTCTATCTATCCATCTCTCTATCTGTCTCTCTATCTCTCTCTCGCTACCTATCTATCTATGTACCTCTCTATCTATGTATTTATCTATCTATCTATG